AAATATATACAACTTTTATTTCTCATTTGAAAAGGAACATTCTCCCTATTATATTCCTTCTCTACTAGAGTCTTGCAGCTCATTTTCAAACACTGAACATGCTTATATGTGAGTTCTTTCACAGTTAGTGCTTTGTGGTAATACTTTGACAAATAGGTAGAGAGGCAAAAGAGTTGTCACAGGCTTCGTGCAGCCATCACTGAAGTAATGTATCTGAGGACACAAGCACTGTGATCAGGAAGAGAAGGAAGTGACTGCTGATGTACATCTAATCCCCAGGATCTCCAGCTCGGTCCACACCTGTTGCCGAGGCTTGTCCCTCTGACTGGCCCGTGCAGATGGACACCTGGCTGGACCCTCTCAATGCCAGGTCACCACTGAATGTCCTAGCACTCAGTTCACCTGTGTCTCCATTGTCTGGTCACAAGTGGCTCTTGTCCCATCCAAACTTCATCTCATATCCACGTCCTATCTAGTGAAAATATTCAACTGTCTCTATATAGTATGCCATACGGATGCGAGTTAAGTTAAACGTGGGCTTGAGGTATGCTGCTGGAATTCACATCACAGCTTTCAATCCCAGCAGCTCTTTCTCCTTCAGAGGTTTTACAAGTTTTTCATTTGCAGGTGCTGTCTTAGGGGTTCGGTTTACTATAACGCAATATCTTGTGCTGTGTAGTTTATCAACAATAGCATCTCACAACGTCCACAACACCACCTATGATTTCCCTTGCACAAAAGAGGGGACTGAGGCTAAAAGATGATAAAGAGAAGAATTATAAGACACTGAGACAAAAACAGCAGAGACTTAATGAAACATGGTATGAGCCCAGGTCTATCTGCAAAGAGAGAAATGGCCACAAGGCATGAGAGGGGGAAGATGTGAGGGGCAGTGGCCTAGGTATTGTTTCAGAGTTTGCCTCCACCAAAACTTGGTTCGGGCCTCTCATCTTTCCCCTTTCCATACACAGACCGATTCTAATCACCTTCATACATTGTTTCTACAGCACAACAAGAGCCCTGGAATAGTACTTCCTAAATCCCTGCAATCCGACATTTCTTTGCCTGATCCAGGGGACACCAGCTGGCTGTCCCCCTCCACTGTAAGTGTATCCAAACTGGACAAAAGTTGGGGAAAATGAATTAGGATCAGGTAGTTTTGCAATCAGAACACTAAAATAAATTCAAAATCTCTGTAACACTGTCATTCATGCTCTACAAACGAACATAGGTAATGACTACAAAAGATGTCACTGCCTAGTGAAAAGTGAGGGGTTTTCAAACCAAATCCTTATCGTGGACTTAGTGCTGGACACTGTGCTTGGGACCCATACAAAGTCAGTGCCTGAGGTAGATGATCTCTTTCTCTTGTCCCACAAGAACTACTGAAAATAGGTAGTAGGAAAGCTTATTCTAGCAGACAGCCTTTGCCAGGGACGGCAATAGAGAAGGACCTTTCCCCCTGTGGACCTTGAAAAGAGTACTCAGGGCTTGGTTTCTAGTAGTCCTTCCCTTTCTGCCTGTAGAGGATTCATTGGGTCCTCCCTAGGTGCTAGGAGTACAGCAGAGAAATCACTTCACTTATCAGACAAGAGTAATGGGAAAGATGGCTAAGGAGCAGTCAGGAACCATAAAACATGGAGGGTCTATTCGTCTGTCTATCAGGAAGCAAATGTGGCCAGGAGCCATACATTTAGCAATTGAAACACGAGTCCCAAAGGAATCAATGCAAGAGAAAAGAGATGCTGGACACCGAGAGGAGTATAAGGCAGAATGAATGATGACAATGTTAGCGTGGCAAATTGGACAAGACCCCAGAGAAAGAAGTCTCTTAAGAGGACAGATGGTAGCTTGTGTGGGGGTGGGGTGGGGTGGGGGCGACAACAAGATTGCAGTGAGAAAGAGACCTCTAGTTCACCCTGATTATATGAATTTCATCACCTCTGTGAAGTTCTTGAGTGGAGCTGTCTTCCTGAGGTCAAGGATGGAGTTCATCAGTCATGGATACAGGACATTTAGAGGCCAGTCCCAGCCCATCCAAGTGAACATGGAGGAGAAGCCAAAGAAAGAGCTAAGGCAACTGGGGAGATGCAGAAATGAGGTGGACCTGTTCCAGTGGGTGTGGATGTTGACATGAGCAACCCCGGGGACGTTGAGAAATGAGAGATAAAGCAGACCGGAGGAATGAGGGATCCAAGAGCTGGGAGCAGTGGAAGATGCACAAGCCTGGGTGATGAGTGAGATGGATAGAACAGGAGGGGCCACTCTGGGAACAGTCACACACTGCAAGCATCCATCTTGCACTTTATCGTAAGATGCAAGGAAGACTCCTGGCAGCCCTTGCTCTCTCCCCAGCTTCCCTGGGTGCCAGCTTCTGGCAATGTGCTGTTGAACACAAAAGAACAAATTCCTGGGCCTTCAGGGTAAAATGGATTCCCTTTGTACTACCCTATGGTTCCTGACCCATGGCTCAGTAGCTCCTATTAGAGGAAGGGCAAGTGGAGATTGTAGCAGCACTTAGTCCCTGTGAAAGTGAACATCATAAAGCAGAGAGGCCACCACTGAACATGAGATATGCATGGGCCAGGGTGGCCTCCGCTTCCCATAAAGTCTCAAGTTTGACTGAGGCTGAAGCACGTTCTATGAGACCAACAGTTCACACGGTCAGCCTACTCGGATGTGATCCAGTCACAGTTGCTGGTTTCCAGATGTCATTCCTAAACTAAGGGGGTCACTTCAGCACCTGAGCTGCTGCAGTCGTGGGGGTGAATAATTTTCATTTATTCTTTTAGATAATGAATACCCACTTTTTTAGGGCAGCGCAGGTAGAGTCACACTTTGAGCATTTAGCATCACGACTGTGTCAACTCTGAGGCTCTTTGTCACCACTGGGAATAAGCACCATTGAAGAGTTTGGGGTCTTCGGTGTAGAGCACTATGCCCCAAGTCTACAGGTTCTGTGTTTCTAGTTCTGGCCCATACTACCAGAGGCAGGTTTCTGATTAGTTGAGATTCCTTTAGAAATCATAGGAGGTGACAGTACATGAGATGAGGGAGAAATATGGAACTTACCGACTCACATAAACAATCCAGTCCATGGCTAGTGTCAGCTTTCAGTAGGGTTCTATGTGTCCTTGACACCTATCTATCATTGTGTATGTGTGTGTGATTGTTTGTTTGTGTGTGTGTGTGTGTGTATTCACTGGCACTGCTAGATGCTCCACGCTCATCTAGTATAATCCCTGCCTAAGGCTTGTAATCTGTTATTTCTCCCATCAAACTCAGGGGCCAGGAAAACACTATGCTGTGGCTTGATAGTGCCAGAAGTATCTAAGAATGAACTGCTTCATTTGGCTTAGGATCCTCACGCCCATTCCTCCTGACAGATGAACACAACCATGACCCTTATGTGTTGAATGTTTCTTACAATTCTACAGAAGAGTCTTTGAAGGAGAATAAAATTGGGGGTGCTGAGAACACACTGCTGGAAAGAAAGGCAGCGGGCCTACAGTGAGGAGTGGAAAAGACATACGCAGGCTGGGATACATGTGGGTCAGAGAGAAAGGACCTTCTTCAAGTGATAGAAAAGTGCCCTGAAAGAGCAGGGCTTGTTAAGCAGGATGGCCACTGGGGTGGCATGCTATGCAAAATAATAGAGTCAAAGCAAGAGGACAGCAGCAATTGTCCCCTACTGGCTTGATGACCTCCAAACCTCCAAACCTGAGCCAGGCCTGCCCACAGACCGGGAAGGACTTCACTCTCCATCAGCTGGCAGGTCCCCTCCCCCACTGAGACCTTTGCAACTAGGGACACTAGCGAAGCAGGCCTCAAAGTAGCTTAAACTGACCTTCAGCACAACAAGCTGGCCCGACCAGAAAGCACTCTTCCTCTCTGAAGCCAGGAAGCCCTTGTTCCGCCTAGAGACACTTGTTGCAGCAAGGCACCAGTAAAGGGAATCATCTCCCTGCAAACCCAAGTGTGGGAAATGAGCTCCACTCCCATTGGCCAGTGAATGCTGCCTCCAAAAGTCCCCCAGCCTTGAAGTGTTCCTCTTTCTGAATACAGCAGTGCCTCTTCTGTCACTTTCAGTCACATAATGATGCCAGGGAAAGGTCTATTCACTCACTCAAGCAGCTACTGCAAGGACAAATCAGAATATCCAGGCACATCAGACAAACAGAGCACACCAAACTAATACCGCATCCGTTCTTAAACCTTGACTGGACTGAGAGGGACAGCACAAGATTGTGCACCATGAACTGCATGCCAAACCCAAACACTGCAATGTCACTCAATACACAAATTCCAAACAAAGCCCAGAATCTCCCAGCAAAATAGTCAAAACATCCAGAACACAGTAGAATATCATTCCTGATGTAAAGAACCTGGAAAAACACAACTTGAATGAGAAAAAAATCCAACCAAGTGACATTAATTCCTAAATGAAAGAGATGAGGGAATTCTGTGACAAAGATTCTAAAGACTGTCTAAAAATGATTTTACAGTAGTTAAATATTCCCACAAGTGTCTTTCTAATCAGCAAAAGCCGAAAACTACTCAGACATTTTCATACACTCTGGTAATGCACACTATGCAATACTATTCACCAATCCAAGTGACAAATACTGTTACACAAAAGAGCTTCCATGAGTCACCACAGGATGATTCTGCATGAGGAAAAGTATGAAAAGTAACATCTACGCTAGGATCCCATTTATGCAACATTCTTCAAATAACAGGAGCAGAGAAGTGAAGACAAGATTGGTGGCTATCAGGACTACAGCACGTGGGAAGACAATCCAGAGACTTGGCCACAATGCACAGAAGGATGAAGACTTGAAGGGTTACTGGCACATGTACCATGTCATAGGTGGCGTTTGTCCCCGACACTCCTGCCAAATAGATGCCCTTCCTCCAGGGTGCCAACAGCATCCTCCACCACCACCTGGTCCATGCTTGCCAGCTTTTCCTATTACATAGGGAGTGCCGATCCCAATTACCTTCATTTCTTCTCACAGTAGAAGAACGTGAGCAGCACTTCTAGGATCCCCACAGTCCTCAAGTTTATCTGGATGGTCCAGTGCACTCTATCTTCCTTCTACCTGCTGTTGAAAGAATTTCCAGATATTATGAAAAGACTAAAACTTTGGCAATAAATTGTTAAGCTCAGGCTTCTACAATCAGAAAATTCAAACACTGTCAGTTTGTCTCTTACAGTGGCAATCACCTCGAACAGAGGGGGACAATGACCAGAAGAAGTCACGGTCTGGCAGGATCTCTACATGGGGTTCCGTGCAGTGCCCATGGACTGGTCTTAGCCTTGTTCGTGGTGTCCAAGTGAGAGGTTCTGTAAAGGGCTCTCCACAACATTCTAAATGTTGATGGAGGTGACGGGAGATGCTTGCTGACCTCTGACCAGCATGAACAATGTAATAAAACTAACAAAGAAGGTGTAATGAAAGTAACTTGTGACATCATTTCACAGATATTTTTCTAGATTCAGGACTTTGCCTGAAAAGACAACATGAATGAGGCTCGTTAACATCTCAGTTTGTCTAATTTGTATTCCTGCCCATAAAACAATGCATAGATAAAGCAAAATCCTAATACAGGCAATCCATATTCTGATTTGTAAATGTAATTTAGTTGGCTAATATTTAGAGAATACTGATGTTCACCAGTTTAGGAATTTTTGAAACAACATTATAGCGAATGCAGATATATAGATTTAGACATAGATGTATGGATACAAAGAGGCAAGTATTGCCCATCTCTTTTTCCTATATGCTTGTATTCATACATTATGATTTAATCAGTTAGGTGGCCAAAGGAGTCGGAACAGTACCTGCTAGAATGCGGGAGAAGCAGCCTCTTCCACCCAATTCTTGTCCTGACCTGCCCGGCCCTAGACCGTGCTTCTTTATCTTCTTTATACATAGAAATCACACGAGTCATTTTTAAAACATGCAACCCCTTTTTAAAATGCAAATAGGAGCCAATCCCAAATTTAAGGAAAAACAGTACATTCAATACACAATTACAGCTGAAAACTAAACTGTGGGCCGGGGCTGTACATTAATGGTAGAGCTCATGCATAGCATACATAACATCTTGAACTTGATTCTGAGCACAAAATCCATAAAATAATTAAAATGTGACATTTGATTTGTAGGTGTCATTAACTCCCAGAAAATGGAAAACACTCCATCTGTGAATTTGTTACTTTTTTTGTTTTTGTTTTTTTGCTGGCGGGGATTGAACTCTGTGTCCTTGCACTTTCCAGGCAGGGGGGGAACCACTGAGCTGAATCACCCCCCCAAATTTGTTACTTTTTAAATTAAACTTTCGGCATCATTTTCAAAGGAAACATGCAAAGCAGGAATGACTGAATTGGATTAAATAACCTGAAATTCCGCATACAATTCATTTCTGAAAGGAGATTCTAATTCATGCTCAGCAGGACAAGTGACCAACTTTCCAGGCATTCGCTGTCAGAAAACATCAAACACAGGGTCAGTGTACAGTTTTACATGAAAAATACCACAACACTTTCTTCAGTTGAGGTAGATTTATAGAAAAAAATTATACACAGATGATGGATTCATTAAATATAATGTATTAAAACAATTCCACGGTAAACTAAAAGTTTAGGCTAATTAGAAATTTGAGACCAGTAACTGAGATTAAAGCAATAGCCAAAAAGCCAATTAAAACAGTAATTGTTCTTGGTTGTACACTGAAGATAACAAAAATCTTTTTAACATTTATTCATGAAATGGGCAAGGCACACCTTTAAATGAATGATAAACACCAAACACACAGTTCTTCCGTAAAATAAACTTCCACAGTTTAACTGCTGACAAGGACAGACTGCTAAGAGCATTCATTCACTGTTGTACAACATCAAGAACTTGCAGTGACACATGAGAGCAATCCTAAAGCATCTGCATTCAAGGACATTTACAGGGTAGGTACAACCCTAGAACTTTTTAACAAAACTTATGTGAAGAAAGAAATTATACTAGAAGATAAAAAAAGATATTAATTTTCTCTTTGTAACTTGAAACTTACAGAAAACTTTTCAAAGTCACTTACAGGAAATCAGAGAAAAAAACATAACTGAATGCAATGAGAATGATGATCATGGAAAATACTACACTGAATCCCCCCATCTCGTTTGGGAAAAGAGCCTAAGGTGCATCCACCCCAACTTTAAAACTTCAGGTCCCCATTCGGGAGATTAATTTTCAAAGTGTGCAAAGTGAAAAACTGTTGTTTAAAGAATATTTGTGGAACGAAACCAAATTAAAATTAATGTCAAATGACAGAAACATCAGGAAAAACGCACACACAATTATATTGTAACTAATACAGGAAATAGGACCCCTGGGAACTTCCTTCCCTTCAGGGGTTTAAAGGAACAAGTTACTGCCATGTGGTCCCCTTTTTACCAATATGTAAAGAGGTAGTAACACCAGACTTTTTGAGGACTACACTTGGTTGAATACAATGATATTAAATACAAAAGTACATTGCATAAAAGTGCACAATAGAGTTCAATAACAAAGGCCAGGATTTCCTAGTGGTTAGTGAACAAGACGAATATCAACTTCCTTATTTTTACATTGAAATTATTAGGAAACTTTCTGACTTAAGGCAATATATGAATAAGACCCATGGTAAACATTAAACAAATTATATAACAACCGACTGTAAACTTTTTCATCACTCCATTCCGTTGGTTAAAGAAATGCAAACCTGTTTCCACAGGCAGCTAACAGCCCTAAACAGTGCTAACCCCACAAGGGATCCCTCAGCACGTTACTCTGCTCCTCCTCAGGGCAAAATTACACACATATGGTCTCTGACCACAAATCCCAAGAAAACGGCCAAGACCAAAATTGAAACAAATAAATGACAACAATACCTACCCAAGCACTCTGTCAAAGAAAAGCAAAATGCAGATGTTCTCTTGTGGCCAAGGGCCACTTTGGTCCTAGGCTGACCCCTGCTCAGCCAATCGCATCAGCTGTTTCCTCATTTTCATGTCAAGACAACACAAACCCTAAATATTATCAAGGAGGGGACCTGAGACCAATATTTAGAGACAAAACGATCTGAAAGGCTCGGCATGTTGCCACCCAAAGTACAGCACTGAGGCCAACACATCTACGGACCTTCCTGGTCATAAATCTGAAAGCCCGAAGGGCGCATCTCTTAATATCACTTCTGCTAGGAAAATAGACCGCCCTAGAGAGCCAGTACGATCACAATCACAATGCAAAACAGCCACTGTCAATCAAAATCAAGTAAATTGAAACTGAGGTGGTCGCCTGAGCAGGTCCAGCGAGTTCCCACATCCCTGGCCACCAAGGCCTCCGTGCGATCCTGGGCTGACACCGGCTCAGCCTTAAGCACCCGCTGTCTCTTCAAATTTAAGTTGAAAACAAAACCTTATGATCATGCACAGGGCGGTAAAAGAGTAACATTTACACAAACAAAATGATCGGAAAGATGCTTCATGCTGTTACACCAAGTAGAACCGTCTGCCCAACTTGAAAAATAGCAACACAAACCACCAATTAAGAATCAAACTGAACTTAAACTTGGAGATCACCACCGGAGCGGCCGCCATGTTCCCACATCCTGGAGGGGAATGAGCTATGGGAGCCCAGCTGCACAATCAACAGTTGAACTGTCCTGGACACAGAACAGAGCCCCTCGGAGGGAAAGGCTATGGTCCCACCCTCAAACACTCTCACTGGATGGTTTCAAATGATAGGCAGTGAAAGTGTCAGCTCTGGAAACTCAAGTCTGTATCTCAGGCTCAGCTATTTATGCCCACTTAATTCTGCTCATATCGCAATCCTCTCTTTTACCTACCCAAGGCCCTCCCTAGCCAGATATAATATTCGGCCTTTTGATTATACCATAGCCCCTGGTGTGACATTTTTGATTTGGGAATTCTGGCTCACTTAGTTCATGCAGACCTCGCTGAATTGTATTCTCCTCCAGGAAGTCCTCTAGGATTGCACCTTACACTCCCCCTAGTAGTTTGGAGTTGATTTTTTCTGTTGACACATAGAGACATTAGAGCTGGGATGCAGTAGAATGATGTGGCAGCAGGCTCGGCCTGGTGTGATGAGCCCAAGGCATGCACGCGTAATGTGGGAAGCCAGTTAAGGTTGTCATAATTGTAGGAAGGCCAGGAGATTTCAACAAGTTAGCTCACACCAGCTTCTCTGCACACCCTGTAATATCACAAGTAGCTAGGGAAAAAATGGCCTCCATGTTTTCCAAGCAGAATTTTGAACTAAAAGCAAAATCATACTGGTTACAATTAGTTCCCAACTTTAAGTTTGTAAGATACTAGAGATAGACAGATGGCTTAGTGTGCAGTGTTAAGAACACAACTGTCATAATCCAACTGTCTGTTCCCAGGGGATTCGCTTCTTAAATCATTGTTCATAACTGACATGAGGCTGAGGGGAATAAACAGGAAGGCCTAGCTTCAGGAGTACAAAATCCCATTTAAATAAGAGGAGATAGTTGTTGAGATCTATTGCACAAAAAGTGAGTATGTGATATGACGATTATCATAATAAGCTTAAAGTAATCCATCCAGAATGCATACACATATCAAAACATCCTATTGGACCCCATAAATATATAAAATTATTATTTGTCATTTGAAAAATGAACACTTTACTTATTGTATGACTTCTCTACTAGAGACTGCCATCTCATTTTCAAACTTAGAAAATGCTTTTAGGTGAATTCTTTCAGCGTTAGTGCCTTTTGGTAATACTTTGACAAATTTTCAGATGGGCAAAAGATTTGTCATAGGCTTTGTGCTGCCGTCATGGAAGTAATGGATCTCAGGACTCAAGTGGTGTAGGCAGGAAGAGAAGGAAGACAGTGACTGCTGATCTGCATCTAATCCCAAGGAACTCCAACTCGGTCTACCCCTGTTGCTGTGGCTTGTCCCTCTGACTGCCCTCTACAGATGGACACATGGCCGGACCCTGTCAATGCCAGGTCACCACTTTATGTCCTAGCACTCAGTTGTACCATCCATACTTCATCTCTTATCCACGACCCATCTTTAGAAAAATGATCAATCGTCTCTCTCTATTATGCAGTATGGATGAGGATTATGTTGTCTATGGCCTTGAGGTATGCTGCTTGCATTCATGTCACAGTTTTTATCCCCACCAGCTGTTTATCCTTTGGATTTGTTTGCTTGTTTTTCAGTTGCAGGTGCTGTCTTAGTGGTTCAGTCTACTGTAACAAATTATCTTGTGCTGTGTAATTTATGAACAAGAGATTCATTATTCACAATTCTCAAGGCTTAGAAGTCCAAGATAAAGGCTCCAAGAGATTTGCTGTCTACCAAGAGGGGCTCTGTTCTCATAGATGCTTATACTATGTGTCCTCGGATGGTGCAAGGGGCAAACAGCCTCTCTCAAGTCTGTCTCCTCTGGTTTTGATCTTAAATGTGCTCCAAGAACACATGTTAAAGGTTTAATCATTACTGCAGGGTG